AGGATCTGGACGAATGTTGAAGTGGACGGACGTAACTCGTTCTCCTTCCTTCTGCAAGCCGGATGGGGGCGTACCTGCTAAAGGTGCTCAGACGCTCAAGTCAGTAAAGTGACCGAACGATTATAATAAGTGATGCAAGTAGTGCATGATGTGCAGCATGTGCAGTTTGCCTCGAAATCATACCTGGGACTCTTATTTATACTTGTTGTAATGGGCTTTTACCTTTCGTCGGCCTAATGACGGCCCAATCACGCCTTAATCTTCATTAGAGGCTTTAATGAGTTATTACTGTTTATAATCCAACCATATGATTGGCCTGGTGGTTGTCGGCCAAGATGGTCGGTCAGGGCGTTTAACAGGATGTTAATGATGCATCAGGGGACCGTACGGTACATCAGCCCCCCAAGCCCGAGCATGATGTTAATGATGCGAAGGGATTTTTGTGCATGGCCTTCCTAAAAGGACGAGTTCTTTGTTTTGCTTTCGTTTCTGAGTCCTTTTTGCTTGTTGAGTGGATGGAAAACAAAAACGAGCCAGAAGCCAAGGTTAGGCCAAGAAATTATCGAGAAGTTGAGGCTGAGGAGACCAAGTTGGGGCCGAGGAGACCGAACGATTGAGGCCGAGGAGGCAGAAAAGTTGAGGCCTTTAAAGGCCGAGAAGTTGAGGCCGAGGGGGCCGAACGATTGAGACCTTTGGAGGCCAAGTTGTTGAGGCCTTTGGAGGCCGACGGGGCCGAACGATTGAGGCCTTTGGTGGCCGAGAAGTTGAGGCCTTTGGAGGCCGACGGGGCCAAACGATTGAGGCCTTTGGAGGCCGAGTAGTTGAGGCCGAGAAGGCCACGTTGAGGCGAAGAAATGGCCTAACGATTGGGGCCATTAGAGGCCGAGAGGTTGAGACCGAGGAGGCCGAACGGTCGAGGCCTGTGAAGACTGAGTGGAGGCCTTTGAAGGACGAGTTGTTGAGGCCTTTGAAGGCCGAGGAGTTGAGGCCGAGAAGACCAAGTTGAGGCTGAGGGGGCTGAACGATTGAGGCCTTTGGAGGCTAAGAGGTTGAGGCCAAGTTGACAGGACACCTGATAACTTTTTGGCAAGTATACCAAATCGTTCAAGTAATACAATGAATTAAGTTAAGAGTATCGTTCTCCCAAGGGAATTTGAGTCATGTTATTAAATTAAAATTATTTATCAAGATCAATTACTGATGATAACATTTGTGATTTCAAGTTGGAAATTAGCATGAAATTGACAACGTAAAATATTAAGATTTCAAAATACGATAACAGATCACTAGAATTGGTCTTTGACTAATATTACAGTAAAATCCTGGACAGCATACATTCTCTGTTCAAGCATTCACAAAAGAGTATCTTGGTTTAATTCCTTAAAACAAGTTCTAAAATTATCTATTGAATTATTAATTCCTTAATTAATTCAAAAGATAATTTTGCATTAAATTCATATGTAGAGAATGACCAAAAGCACAGAAGTTATTCCTAGCGTAGTTACTTTAGTTTCTTTTCTTACGTTTCTGGTTCTAAAAATACTTCTCAGTACAAAAGAACTTTTTAAAAAGAATTATACTTCTGTATAATTAAAAGCAAGTCAAGAAAAGAACAAGAACAGAAACATATATTGCACAGGAAATTTACATTAACATATCGTCATACAACCAATTACAATGAACAGAAAATTTAGCCTATTCTAGACATCTCAAACGTACTCTTTTCAGCAACTCCTTGCAGAAAGTGAAGTCTTGATGTCTTGAAAGGTCTCCTGAGTGTCTCCTGAGTTCTCCAGTATTTTTCTCCTTTGGTTCGTGTGTCAGAAGATCGTTTATGCCTTTCTGTCACGTCTTTTTAAGCCACTTAACTTAATTAATTCGCACAGCGCACAGGTGTGTGTGTGCACTGTGCGAATTTCCTTTAACTGCTGCACTTCAACTGATGTTATTCGCTCATCGCACAGGTACTGGTGTGCTATGCGAATTTCCTTTTTCTGGTTGTGCGAATTTTCGCTTGCGCTATGCGAGAATTGGCTGACAGACTCTAAATTATACACACTTTCCTGTACAATAATTTACATAACAATCTACTTCCTATTACAACTTTTCACTGAGTAATAACATGAATAATTATAAGATTGAGATCATTTATAAGTGTAAAAACAACTCTTTCTCACACTTATCAACGCCCCTTTCATCAACTTGGTCTTTGTCTAGAGTCGGGCAGCAGTGGTTCAGCAAAGAACTCGTCGTTCACTGTTTGGCTAAGCTGACAGTGGTTCATTAAAGAACTCGTTGTTCATCAACTTGGTCTTTGTCTGGAGTCGGGCAGCAATGGTTCAACAAAGAACTCGTTGTTCACTGCCTGGCCAAGCTAATAGTGGTTCATTAAAGAACTCGTCGTTCATCAACTTGGTCTTTGTTTGGAGTCAGGCAGCAGTGGTTCAACAAAGAACTCGTCGTTCACTGCCCGGGTTGTTGAGGCCAAATAGGCGAGGCTGGATGGCGGAGGGCGGATGACGGATGTACTTGCAGCCACACGGCCAAATGATCTGACGTTGATGCCAATTTTCACTTTGTACTTGGAGGCCTGGTTTAAGAAAGTACCTGATTACTACGGCCGAGCAGTTGAGGCCTTTGGAGACCGAGAAGTTGAGGCCTTTGAAGGCCGAGGAGTTGAGGCCGAAAAGGCCAAGTGGTAGGCTAAGTATCTACGAGGCCGAACACTTGGTGCCAAATTTGTCCAAGTACCTGCGAGGCTAGGTTCTAGGAATTACCTAAGATCAAGGTATGGCCGAACAGATGAATCCGAATGGTAATCATAAAAGCTGAGAGGTCGTGAAGCCGAATGGTGTAGACCGAATGGCCGAGCGAACGAGGCCAAGTGGTCGAGCGGTCGAGACCGAGTTGTCGGGTTGACGAGGCCGAGCGAAAGAGGCTGAAAACTTGAGTTGACGTTCTTTTGAGGCACCACTCACTAGTTCCTTGTGGCTACAATGGGGAATACTAGCTCAGCCCCACGGTGGGCGCTAAAATGTTTCGGTCGAGTTTGGTGGAAGCCTGCTAAAACACTCCTGATTGTATTGAAGACTGGGTGGATGTTAAAGACCGGATGGACGAACACTGTTCAAAGCGCTTCAGGATGAAGACCGGGCGAGCTTTGTTCCAAGCGGGGATCGTTAGGATCTGGACGAACGTTGAAGTGGACGGACGTAACTCGCTCTCCCTCCTTCTCCAAGTCGGATGGGGACGTACCTGTTATAATAAGTGATGCAAGTAGTGCATAATGTGCAGTGTGTGCAGTCTGCCCCGAAATCATACCTGGGACTCTTATTTATACTTGTTGTAATGAGGTTTTACCTTTTGCCGGTCTAATGACAGCCCAATCACATCTTAATCTTTATTAGGAGTTTTAATGAGTTATTACTGTTTATAATCCAACCATACCATCGGTCTGGTGGTTGGTCGGTCAGGATAGTCACTCAGACGTTTAGTGGGATGTTAATGATGCATTAGGGGACTGTAGGATAATCAGGGAACGGTATGATATAGTATACCTCAAGATAAGTTCGCCATACACATGAGATGCTATGTGACACCATAATAATGAATGATACAAGACCCTAACTACATCTATGATACACATCCCCAAACCTTAAGCCCAATGATGACGCAGTTAATAATGTAAATTCAGAGTGGATGTTAATATTGTGGTCGAATTTTATAGAATTTTTGAGCTTACTACACATTAAATTGTATCTTCAATCTAAAGATAGATAAGCAATCATAGGTAAATATTATGTTTTTGCTGGGGAGCGCTTTTAATAACTAATTATGTATGACAAAAATAGTTAAATGCATATTATATAAATATATAATATAATAACATACAAGATTACAGAATCAGACTATCTAAATATTATTAAACAAATACAGAGAGAAGTGAAAGAAGTTATTAAACAAATAACTAAAACCAAATAATGTTCTAAATATTTCACAATTTGAAATATAAAAGTTTATAAAGATATACTAAGAAACTTTTGAAGGAATAGAAGCTCCCTTGAACAAGTGTTGCATAAGTTGAAGGTGGTGTTAAAAGACTTAGTTGATGTAGTTATGCGACGAAATTTATGTAGAATTATCTAAATGGTAATGTGTTGTACATTAATTTTATTCATATTTATAAAAATGTTTTTCCTTTTAATAGAAAATGGAATTTTTTATTCTTTAAATTCACATGAAATTAAAGTATATGAAGTAAGTACTTATAATAATTCAAATCAATCCAACCAATGTGTTATAATTTGAATTAGTCAAGATATAAACTTATGTGTTAAAAATATAATTAATTTAAAATGACAATTATGGCTCATAAATTAGAAAATATTTTCATTTATCTTCTGCTTGATAAATCCAAACTTAAATACAAAACTAATAAAATTTAAATAGATATTTTATGAAGGGGGATATCTTTATTAATATTCATATTAAGAATTAAGAAAAGTTAGATGATAAATTTTTCTAACCAAGTTTGACTCAAACCTACTATTAGAACTCAACACTTATCCCAATAGCCGAGACATTACCAAATTACTTGCAAATACTAGAGATCTCTTAGTTCACTAGTAATACAGTGAACATGGTGTATGTATAAATTGAAATAAGTATCAGAACTAGCTATGAAGGTTGAATTGATCTCAAACCTAAATCCCACGAGTGCCAACAGAACACAGACTATCATGTTCTAAAAAACCTTCCTTGTTAGTGAGTGACAATAGAGGACAAATAAGAGCCCAGGTGTTAGTCTCAGAAAATACAACGTTAAGCAAATGTAATAATGTTGTAAAAACTGTTTCCATGTCATTGGTGATTGAATTTGTTTGTAAATCTAAGCATATATAGAAACAAAGAAAATAACAGGCTCGGAGCTCTGTTCAAAGATCGATTATTTATAAAAACAAGGCAAAGCATTTATTCAGTTGTCACAAAGCCAATAAGGGCTATAATAATTTTATTCAGCCTTTAGTCTATCTGTGTCAGGTAAAATTTAAGCTTAGTTCACAACAAACCGGAAAAAAGAAGGCATACATAAATTAGTTAAACGAAATAAAGAAATATAGAAGCCACCCACCCAACCAAGGGAATTTCACTCCAACAAGGATCCTCAAGTTCAGGAGCTTCAACCAGATGCAACTGTCTTCCAGAGCTTGACCCACTCTACCATGGTTTCGGCAGCCTGAGAAAACACAGGATGAGCCTTCCCTAGTTGTTCATTCACTGCTTTGGCAATCTCAACCATACAAACCTCTGCTGTAGTTGCTGATTGTGGCAACTTCAATGACTGAAAGAAAGGAACAACATCCTCCATCAATTTCACCCCTTCCCACTCTTTCTTCAAGCTCTGAACTGCATCACCCCTTTCTGTTCTCCAGACATATGGTAACCCAGTTTTCACACCAAGGCCTAGGTGGTCACAGATCACTTTCACACACATCCCACACCATATGTCTTCCACAGTTTCCCACCTCAGTTTCCCCTCCCCTGTCAATCTCAATGCCGGGCCTATTGCTGGACCAATAGCTTCACGGTTAAAGGCAACATTGATTCCACTCATTGGCAACAAGGCTCTTGCAGGAACAGTCAAAACTGCATCTACATATCGCACATTCTTCTGCCGTGGCTTCAGAGCTTGTGTTGGAGCATCAAGGTCGGCCATATTGAGCCATAGCCCACATGACACAGCACAATTAACTCCTTCTCGCAGGCTAAATGGGTAACCACGAACAAAATCTGCACCCTTTCGGAATGGATCATATAGTGTATTGAAGAAGAAAGGGGTGGCAGGAGTCTGGAGGTTCGAAACATGCTGAGCCACAGCATCCACCAAATACCCCGCATTATCTTTTGCAGGAACACAATCATCATCAATACAGACAACATACTTTTTCCGTGAAATTAGAAAGCCAAAATATCTACAAGAGTAGCCAGAGAAGCGAATAGAAGAGGAAGAACCCACCACTCGCTCAATATCAGCCTTTGAATACACATCCGCCCTGAATCCTTCAGGAATTTGTAGTTCTTCTTTGAGGTCAGGATCTTTTACTATTATCAGGTGAAAGCGGGAGAAAATTGGCCTCCATTCATTCATGAAAGTTGTGAGGTCAGCGTGTAATGCACCAATCACAATATCCACTTCATTATCGTTGATAACTGCTTGAGACATCTTGAAGAGTACAGAACACAGACTATCACACAAACTAAAAGTCTTGTTTTACCTCCTTAGCGCTGAGATTATTTAACCTTACTTTAGAACTTTTCAGAACACCCTGTACTCAGAGATATCAAATGTCAGAAAATAAACATTTGTCACCACAGCAGCAGCTAGTATACGTATTATTACACAAATTCTTAAAACAACTCACTGGTGGGAAGCACAGGGGTCAGAACATGTCGGATATTGAGTGCCTCAACAAGGGAAATCACTTCATCCTTACCAGTCGCTATGAACAGTCTCAGAACTTTCTCAGTCAGTTTCCCAGCTCTTAATATTCTCTGTCCATGAAAACCACATGTAATAGAGTAAGGATGCTGAATGATAGTGAAATAACAAAACTTCAGGTAGCATCTAATGGCCACAATTATATAAAGACAACAAAAGGAATGAAACTAGATCCACAATATTTGACATGTCCATATTTTCATCCCGATTACAAAACAGTTGTTTGAGCCAGCTACATTTGCAAAAACAGTGAAAATGAAATTTTAAAACTTCATATCCCAACAAGAAAGCAGAAAGTGAAGTAAAATCTTGCCCTAGTGTTAACCGCCACCCAAAGTAAAAATACAAGATAACATAACCATCAATTCAATCCCGTAACAGTCATAAATGAGATTTGTTTCATAATTTGCTAAACAAAAACCCTTGGAATTTTCAAAACACACAAAAAGCAATATCCAATCCTTAGAGTACTTAAGAATTAAGAATTAGAATTACACTTTGATAATTGGCACAAAACAAAAACATCTTGAACCAACTAAATACGTTAGAGGAATCAAAACTATCATTCTGATAGGAGAACATTCCTTAAATAAGTACATCTAAGTTTTATTCTTCGAAAAATGCAAGAAAAGAAAGGAAAACGAGCATGCAGCCGAATAACCTTCCTTCACTCATCGAAGGAGGCAAGAGTTGATTTTTATGGGAGATCAAAAGAAGGGGCATTGATTAAAACAAAAGGGGTAGTGTGAATGAAGCAGAGCGAAAAAAAGAAGAAAGAAAAAAGGGCATGAAAGTGAAACCTTGGTTAACTAGGAAGTAGAAGTAGGATGCATGAGAAAAAAGCGAGAAAGAGAGAGAGAAAGAGATTATAAGAAGAAAAGTACCAGGAAGAGGTCGAGGAGGATGTGATCAGGGATTGAGGAGAGATCGGAGATGTCGGATAGATTGAGGACGGCCGAGTCAATGGTGAGGGATAAGAGCGATGGCGGTGGTTTTGTTCTCATTCATTCCAAAATATTAATTAAAAATAAACGGTGATGGGTGGCTACAATTATCCCTTTGAGAGAGAGAAAATGGTGATTAAAGAATTGGTCGCATCGAGGAAGCAAGAGAAGGAAGAAGCCACACCAGATCCCCTAATCTCTCTGCTCTTTCCGTCCTCTCTCGCAACTACACCAAAATCCAAAAACTCTATTTCGTTTCATAATAATAACGGATTAATTAATATTAATAAATAATAATTCTTGATAATAAAATAATAATTAAAAAATAAACGCTTGCTACAATTTCAGTTTTTCTCCAACTTCAATGCGTGCCTATAATAGGTCTCATCTCTAGTCTATCTTATAATATAAAATAAAATAAAATAAAATAAAATAAACCAGATAATTGAGTTCCCGTCTCAGGCCTGCTTTTAAACTACACACAAGGAGATAAGATTGTAATTTGTTCTTTTATTTAAGAATTTTCAAACCTAAAGAAAAATTATTTAAAGTAAGGTAAGATTGTATTATAATTTTGATTTTGATTATAACAGGTATTTTTTTTTATTTATTGGGAAATGTTTTGAACGTGCGTGACTGGTAAAGTGTTGGCTTGGTGAGTTACGTAAGCAAGAATTTGGAAGGTCAATGATCTGCTGTATTTATCTGTTATTTAATTTAAACTAAATTACAAACCTATATGGACCAATGAATATATAATATGAAGGACCAAAAAGTAAAAAGGAAAATATTTTACTAAGGATTAAATTTAAAACATTCCTATCTTTTAAGACAACATGTTAATTAATTCCATTATAATTTCAATAAATTTTAACAAATAAAATATAAATTAGAATAATCATGATCAAACATGTTTCTCAGACTCTTCCTTTTTCTAACGAGATTTTGTAGAAGAACTAATAAAAGATAATAACACCTTATTTACATTGTTAATAAGGTTTTTAGTCTATTTTAATACTATTTTAATTATATATATTTTTAAAATATATAAAATAGGTTTCTTAGAGTAAGCTATTAAGGGTAGAGAAGATAAAAACAAAATGCTAAACTAGTACGTTAAGATTTTGGTTTGACTTAGAAGGTTTGGTTGAGATATGATTACGATGATAAAAATATTTAGATATAAATTAAAACTAAAATTTAATTTATATTTTATTCCGTTAAATTTATTTAAAATTTATATTTTATTATTTAAATTTAATTAAAATTATTTTAATTTATATTTAATTTAATTTATATTATATTTTTTTATAATTTTATTTAAATTTTAATTTAAAAATATTAATATTTGTAGATTTTAAAATTTTTGTAAATATTTTTTAAGCAAATATTCGTCCAATAGATTTTTTTAAATCGGTTTGATAATTTTTTTTTGTCTTGTCTAACTTAATGTCATTGTTAAATAGGATATTAATTTAGATTATGAAAAATTTGGTGGATCAATTTGGTTTATTTAAGAAATTTTATAAACTGAACTTCTTAAAATAATTCTAAGAAATAACTTGTAAAAGTTTAAAAATTAGATTCTTAATAAGTTTTTATTTTCCTTATAGGTTGGTAGATGTCAGTTAACAAAGTTAACTCTTGGACAATATAATAAAAATAATATCATGTTTTTTTATTTTAAATTTATATTTATAGATTTTGAAATAAATTTTTAATTAATATAAATCTAAATTTACTTTACAACTCAAAAATTAATAAACAAATTTTACTTATAAATTTGATCATTATTAAAAAAATTACTAATTTAATTATTATTAAGGAAATTATCAATCAATTTATTTCTTTTAGTAAGAGACCTCTAATTTTCAGGTGAACTATTTCATGATGTAGTAAGACTATTCGCCGGATTAACTATTGGTTGAATAATTATATGGTAAAGTTTTCTTTATATTTTTGGTAAACTATTCTGTGAGTTTAGTTTTGAGCATGGTGAACAAGATTTTTAAAGTCGTGGTTAAAATTGTGTGACAAGTCTTTAATGGTTCGTTGAAGAAAGCCAAAAGGACGCATTTATATTATGTAAACTAAAAATTTCCATTTAATGGAAGAAAATATATTAAGTAATTTTAAACAAATAAATCAAATTGAAATTTAAAAAAATTAGTTTGAGACAAATAAAAAAATAAAAAAATTAGTGGAGTGAAATAACCTGTTACTCCAATTTAACAATGTTGATGATTCAATTACAGAGTGTGTAGAGTTACATATTACAACCGCATCCTTGCTTTGTGGAAACTCAATTTTGGTTACACAACAGTTCTCGCTGTGCTTCCTCCCGCCGCCAATGGCGACCGCGGCGGTGCTCTTTTCTCGCCTCCGCCAAGCGCGGCTGTCCTCCTCCCTCTCCCTCCTATATCTGCCTCGCGTCCTATCTTCTCAGCGACCGTCTCCTCTCCCCGCTTCCGCCCTACCTTCCTCCCCAACCCTTGCATTTTTCGACGTGTTCCACTCACGCGCTTTCTCCACTCGCTCTTCCGATGAGCGCGAATTGGGGTTGAACTCCTTCGGTGTCGACTCGCAGGTTAACTCTGAGCTTCTGAAAGCGATCGCCGATACCAGTGGTAGCGGTGAAGAAGACGCCGTTTTCCCCGTTCGCGTGCTGATTTCGATGTTCGACTCGTTCCACGAGCTTTCTGGATTTCCGTGGTAAGCTTCTAGGTCTTGTCTTTCTTGTTACTAATGCATTACTTTAACACTTGTTTATCTGTTCAGTTTTGGACTCTGAACCGAACGTAATCTAGTTGCTAAATTTCAGGTGGTTAACTATAGTTTCTTCTACTCTAGCTCTCAGAATTGCTATTCTTTTTCCTCTGGTTGTAACACTTCACAAGCTGAAAACGATTGGAGAGTTTTTCCCTAAATGTGAGTATCTCGTGTTTCGGTAGTATGTTTAACTTGGATTGTTGTACTAATTATTCAATTTTAATTGGAAGCAAGAAAAATTAAAAATAAATGAATAAATTGGTTCTGCTAGGTTAATCCATCTGCTTCTTGTTTGCAAGATATGATGCAGCTGTAGCTGATTATTATCACTTCTTTAATCTTTGTTGTTGTATAAAGCCGTTCGGGGCTTCAAATGTTTGTTTTGAAATTAGAATTAGGTTACTAGTACTTTGTTAGTTTTTTATTGTTCTCATTGGATGCTTGCTCACTTGTTTGCTTGGTCATCTTATACAAGTTACACTCATGTAACACTATTTTCTAATTTCTAATCTGGCTTTGATAGTAGTTATTGAAATGTCTTTTTTCTTCATTTCTGTTACACTGGATCACTTTTTATCCTAGCTTTTTCTGTGTGCAAGTGTTGTGTAATGAACATATTGATTGTGTTTTTGCGCTTGTGAACCTCTTTATTTCTGCATCATTTCATTTGTTGTGTATCTAACTTTTCTTTATCTTTAAATTGTGTTTTGTTCTTTTTTGTGATGAGAAAATGGGAGTGGGTACTTCGTTACAATCTTACGTCTACAAGATATCTTTTTCCTTTTCTCCACTTCTAGTTCATGTACTTAAATTGTTATTAATATTTTTCAATTCTTAAAGTGCCTCCTCCATTCCCACCACCTTTCTCAGGAAAGAGTTATATTCGTCAGTTTCTATTGTTCCAGAAGAAGAGAAAAGCGAGTGGATGCCCCTCTTATGTCTGGCCACTGGTACCATTCATTGTACAGGTGATATATCTACTTCCTGGGAAACATTGCTTATGACTCCTACAGCAATGAATTTGCCTTCTTCTCCCCAAATTATCTTTTACTAATAATATCACAGCCAAAAGCAACCTCCTAGGAAAGCTGTTTTGTGGTACGGTTGAAAGAAATTCACATGTTGTGTGATCTATAAGTTGTCTGGGAAAACCTCACTTAGTGTCAGTCAAAATGTAATGCTAGCTAATTAAAGACTGTCTAAAATCTGAGAAGGAAAAGAAAGCAGCCATTTTGAGTAAATCTTTAGGGTTCAATTAAAAATAAAAAATTTCTTCTTTCATGACTCATGATAGAGCTTTTGTTTCTGTTGCCAATATGAAAAAGTTATGGAGGTATATAGTATTAGAATTTATTACTTACTATTCCTGAAGACTTTGGCATTATCTTATGGCATAAGTTTATAGCTTGAACTGAAGAAATTTATGGAGGAACCGAGCTTAAGCTTTTCAATAAAACTTTTGATGGTTCTTTCTTAATATTTGAACTTGTTTTGTCCTTCCTGAATATCAGAGAGGGCATCCACGAACTGCTGGAATCTGAAACCTTTCAAAGAGGTTCATTTGATCTAAAAGGAATTATGTTTCTTAATTGTTGTAATAACTGAATTGTTTAACTGTTAAATTTTATTTTATGGTAAAGAAAAGCTTGGTTGGAGGGGAAGCTGTCCCATTCCAAGGACAGGCCATGCCGGACCTGGCTGGAAAATTATAGGCTGTTGGACAAACCCACATTGGCAACTGTTTGTTGACTTTTGTATATAAGGAAAATATGTCCTTTTATTTCTCTCAATTCCTGTTTATTTAAGAGAATAGGGAAAACACTTATCCAACGGGCCAGAGAACACAAGGGGGTGTGAACAGACAGGGAAGGGACAAACTAATAGATAAGGTAGCAGCTAGGCTGCTCAATCACTGCAAGTCTGAAATGGAAACACTGTTAAAGCACTAGATTGAACATCAAATGGAAGATGGAAATATAATATTCTCTAAAATATTCAATGCTGAAGACTGAAGAGACAATCTTAAACAGTCCATTTCTCCAGCTAAGTGCACCAAATAATTACATAAACTGCACACTGCTACCTAATTTTCGTCTCTCTCTGTTAGTGTCAAGTAAAGTTCAGAACATTTGTCATTTGCTTCTTTATTCTGTAAAGAAAGTGATAGAAACTAATTTGACTTGTTTATAATCAGCAATCAGAATAAGCCAAATATTGAAGGAAAAAGTAACATGATCGTTGCAATGCTTCACAAACTTTGTAATTTTTACTTTTGGTCTTCTATTTTTCTACAGGTTCCGTGCTTTTTCCTGTGGATGATTAGCATAAGGAAGATGTCACTGAATGGTCACCCTGGTTTTGATTGCGTAATGCACCAACTTATTAAAAGGCTGTTTGATCATCGTGTTTGTGCTATATGTATCTTCATATTTCCATCGATTTAATTCCATGAATGAATAAAACCACATTATTAGAATATATCTGGCATTAAGTTCAATTAGATACAAAAGACTGGAATGATAACAGTTAGCTGTAATGATGGCATCTAAGTTATGGACTTCAACTTTTGGAAAATTTATTTCTGTAGTGACGCTATATCATAATTGTTAGAATGTATATGAAAGTATTTTATCCTATCTTAGATATTCCTCCCTCTTAGATTCCTATTTCATTTTTATATCTAGGATTGGTTGCCATATTTAATAATGATTTTTTTCCCTCATTACTTAGGATTATATTAGGACTTGAGCAGAAAAGTAGAGCCCAGCCCAATAGACTAGTCCATTAGGTGGGAGCCTCAAGGTTTTTGTACCACATCAAGTAGTTCATCCTACTTAACGTAGGACTCATAACATTGTCTCCCTAGGCCGGTATTTCTCTCATTTACTAGTATTCAATTTGCACCTTAATTCAGCCTCTAGATAGCCCTTTCTGTAACCCAACTATCAATGAAAACACCAATTGTTAGGACTCAAGCACAAAAAAAAGTCTAACTCTAAAGACTAGTTCATTTAAGTGGTAGAGCCTCAAAGCTTAATTACCACATCAATTAGTTTATCCTACTCAATGTGAGATTCCTAACAGATTATGATTAGAATATATAAGATTACATACTCTTGGTTGTATGAACACATCAATGGTAATCATTTAACCTAATATCAATTTAATATCACTCGTCCTCCCTCTTATCATAAAACGTCATAATTTCAACAGAAGTGTTGAGTGTTGGCAGGAACAAACATCAACATTTAAACTTGTTAAATATGTTGCAGGGTGGTGCTTTATGGTTCCAGAATTTAACTGAACTCTCTCACGGTTATTCGGGGTTCATCTTTCCTTTCCTGATTGCTGGTTTGCACTACATCAATGTTCAGGTAATGGAGTATAAATCCATATATATAAGGTTTATAACCTGAAATCATGTTTCTAGTTACCTTCCGTTGTCTTCTTATATTCATATTCATGCCAATGTGCATTACAGTGATTCATTTAGACAGATTTTGTTTTATTAGATGGAGAAATCACATTTTATTATTCTGTTGTGGCAGAAACCCTCTTAGTAAGGGTTGGATGTAGTTAAGTCAAGTGTGTACATTAAATATTTTGGACTGGTTGATATAATAAAGGTAGACCTACCAAAACCAAAATGGCTGGCAAAGTTGATGGATCCAAATCATCTGGTTACTAGCAAATGATTAATCAAGTCAAAATCTAATATGTATTGTTGGCCTAATGGCTCTGTTATCTTCCTATGATAATGAATCAAACTTTAACTTTTTATCTTATGGATTAAAAAAGCTGCAGTGCTTGGCTTTATGGTGCTAGTAATAAAATAAAATAACAGAAAGTGTAATAAGTTAATAACTAAGATTGTTTGGTTTAAGACTGTTTTCTCTTTTCACTTTTAATAATTACAAGAAAACCATGTTTTCTTTACAAATTATAAACAAGCAAAATGAAAACAAAGTGATAGGGATAAGAATAAGAAAGGATGGGTAGTTTATGAGAGGAGGAATAGGAGGAAATGAATATAACAAACTAACAGTTAGGACAGTTGTGGTGAGATTGTAAGATTGTATAAATAGCGGCTGAGTAGAAGGGATTGGGGGATTGATTGATTACTTAGTGCTTACGGGTTTATACCTGTGGAAGAGGGTTATGCCTCTGCATTGGATTGTACAGATACTATACTGGTGAATAACATTCAGACTTCCCTTTCTTTCTGTGTTTCTTGGGGAGGAATTGAGTCTTGAACGTAGGTTCCCAATTTTGGAACCTAACATTTGGTCCGACCTGCCGGATCCTTATCGGGGAGTGTTCGAGCGTGGAGATGGAGGGAAGAATGGTGGTGGTCGAAGGGCACTTAGAGGCGGTGGAAGTGGCAATCGCTGAGACAAAGGCTGATACGGCGGCGATACGCCAGGACGTCCAAGCGATCTTGAAAGCGATGGGAGAACGTATACCCATTAACCAAGGACAGCGACAGGGGGAGAGTCAGTCGTCGGTGAACGATAATGGTGGTGGTCTGAATGGCG